GATTGCGAATTAATATTGTAATTATAAAAATCATGTGATACGTTTTAATTTTGACTATTTTGACAATTTGGCCATTTTAATCTCGATTTCATGTATAGTCATGTATAAATCTTTAAGAATCAAGTTAGGACCCCGAAATATACATAAAAGGGTCAGGTCAGAGTTTGCGTATAATGAGTCAAAAAAATCATGAAGATCATTCCTTTTATGGATAATCCCAGCCAAAATAATATTTCCTAATTTAGATAATGGCTGAAATTATCGTAATTCCGGCCCTGAAAGAATGCGTATTTTGGACCACTTCTGGACCTGACCTCTACATATATATTTCGGGGTCCTATCAAGTTTATGCTTAATTATTTTTTTTTCATTATGCATCAAATACTAAAGTGTTTTATTTTTATTTTACAGATTTATTGAAAAAAACTTTTAAAATGAGACGAGAACAAAGACCGACTAAAAAAGTCTTTGAATACATTATCCGTATATTTGAGGTTGATGGGACTGATGGAGAAACTTATGTTGAATATAAATGGAAGAAGGCATCATCAAGTGCTATTATTACAATTAAAGAAGCTAAGAAATATGGTTTCGAACAACAAATTGATGAATATTTAAAAGATAAAGAAATTATTAAAATAAATAAATTGAATAATGTTGATCGTGAAAAGTTACGCGACATGCCCAAGTATTACTGTACTATCGGATATTGCTACAGAAAACATAATAGTTCAGCTGGCCGTGATAGGCATGAACTTTATTCACATATAAAAAAAATAAAAAAAGGGAAGATAAGAAAAGCGATCGAAGATGATAAAAAAAATGAAATCAATAAAAAAGTTTTGAAAACGATAAAAAAATGAAATTTTTTAAAATATTTTTAACAATCAAGAAAAGTTTGATTTAATTTATTGGGTATTGCTAAATATCACCAGTGGTGACGGTCACCAGTAGTGGATTTATGATGTAATGCCGGTCAGTGTTTTATTAAATTTTAATTCAGGCCAAAAGTGCATCTTAATGCTGGTATGGTGACAATCACCGCTGGTGAGCTTTAGCAATTTTCTAATTTATTTATTTAAAGAATTTCACAGAGCCATTATAGAATATCATTATTCCATGAAAAAACAATGATATTATATTATCGCATATATTTATTAAAATGAATTAATATCTATTAATATCTGTAATTAATAAGTTTAGATTATCGTCTTTATATATAATTTGAATTGTGTAACATGAAAACACGATATGTCTGCGCCTGATATTGATTCCATATTTATTATGGTTAGGATTGGTTAGCCCATTGCCAATCTAATGAACGAAAATAAGCTTACTAATGATGATCGGCCGCTACCCGAACAACAAATATTTTTCGGTCGAAATTTTTTTTTATATTATTATTTTTTTGACTAAATTTTTTTTTATATTATTATTTTTCCGACTTTTTATGACCGAATTATTGATTTTTTTTAAAATAATAATATTCTTCTTTTTCGGTCCTTTTTTTAGAGCCGATTTTTTTTTAAATACCTTTTTTTACCAGATCTTATAGATTTTTATTTTTCAGTTTTTAGTTAATATTTAAAATAATTTTTTTGTCATTTTTCTTTATTTTTTTTTGGTTCAAACTTTTATTAATACTTTTTTTTATTTTCGGGGTTATTTACTATCATTTTTTTTTTTGATTTTGTAATTTTTTTCTTATTTATTATTATTATATATTTGTTGAATTTTCGTTTATTTACTATTAATGAAAATTAATGCCAATAAAAAAAGGATTTTTTTGCTTATTATTTTTTTTTATTGTTTATTTTCTATTGTAACATAAGTTGTAGTATTATATAGATCATAAAAAATGTTCGATGATAGTGAACAAAAAAGAATGTTAGAAACAAATGAAAGACTAAAAGTGCTAGAAGAAACGATGATTATACAAGAAAAGTATATATTCTTTTTATATAGATGCACCAATAAAAAAAGATAAGAAAGGTGTAAAATGGGTGGTACCTAGATGGAAAGAATGAATATACAAATTACTTAATTTACCAGAAATTTCATTATGTTGGTTTTTCCTGTTGCAACGTAACAGATTGCAGCTAGTAATTTATCAATAAATAACTTTCTATATAACTATTTTATAATTTTAACAATCTATTAATAGATAGTGTGGTTTTTTTATTCTATTTTTTGTTAAATTTATATTACTTTTATTTGGTTGCAGAGTTATGTTTGTCATTAGCCAACACGTCACAGTCGATACAATTTTCCATTTTAACCACCAATTATTTCATAAATAAATAATATTTGACAAAAAATTTTATAACAATATAAACAAAGAACTAATTTATTTTAATAAATTAAACATTCTAATTATATTTATTATACATTCTTTTTTTGATTTCATACAATAAGCTTTTAAAAAAATTGATTTGTTTTTTTAGTGACAATATTTTATTAATGGATTACTAGCTGGATGCCCGCGTTTCACACGGGCCTGGCTAATTAAGATTATGAAAATCAGTTATAAAGTATAGAATGCGTAAATAAAATTTGCACTTAATATATTATATAATATATTTTTTATTATAATAGTTATAATAGTTATAGTATTTTATTAGGAAGTTAAATGTATGTAAAACAGCATTATTCAGCATTGTATTCTGATCAACATTAAATTATACTGTTCTGCAAAGGCAACACAGAACAACATGTCAAAATACTAATGTTAATCAAATATGTAGAATTACCATGCTTAGTAGATTGAAATGTATAGCAACACTAAATTTATGTGTATAACATGTATTATTATTTTATACAAACACAGTATTATTTTATTAATTGAATGTATTTTTACATTAACTGTTAATTTTCTTCACTTCTATTATCACTAATGTAAAGAAATAAATAAAAAAAAGTTTGTAACAAATGGTTACAAACTTATCCATCCTCAAAATTATAAATCCATAATTCCGGTGTCTATAAAGTAAAAAATTTTAAAAGAAGAAAAAAAAAATGGTTAGTAATTACAAAATAGAATTTTTAAAAAAAAATCAAAATATAATTCAAACTAGCCTTCACCCTAAAAGGTACTGCCAAAATCTAAAAAAGAGAATAGGGTTGTTTCCTACAAAAAATGCTAAATTAGTGACTTTTTTTAAAGTTTAAAATCATTTTTCAGAACTTACCCAAAGTTCTCAAAAATTGACTATCTATACTAAAAAAAAGAAATGAATGAAACATCAATAATGTTTCATTAAAGAAATAATGGTAGGAAAATTTCATTTACCAAAATTTACATCCATCCAAGGTGTCACAGAACTGTCTAAACTACAAAATGCAAAACATGAAATGTTAGTTAACATTTTATTTCATTAAGAAATAAAAAAAATTAATGAAAAACGCTTATGAATTCCATGTCTAGAAAGACCCAAAGAGCTACCTACAGAATGCAAAAATAAACATCATTGGTAACATTTCATTAATTAATGTTATGTACTTATGTTAAAAGAAGCATTTTAAAAGAAGCTACTAAAATTTCATGCATTTAGAATCATGAATAAACTGTATAAAAAAATGAAGAAATGTGATGTTAGTAAATGTTTTGTTAAAAAATTTTCAAAGAAAAAAATACTCACCACAACTCTGTCCATGTATAAATTATTCCTTATTCAGTTATCTAAAAAAAATGAAAAATCAAACCTTTAGAAATGTTTTATTAAAAGAAATGTATTAAATCCTTCCTTAATACCAAATTTCCATGCATCTGATGATAAACCCTGATACCTAAAAAAAGAAAGATTTTATTTTTTTGGTTTTTTTTTGGTTTTTTTGCTTAGTTATTAAATACCTGTAATTGCTGTTATTAGAAATTTTTGATTTCTCTTGGTAAAATCCTGGTACCTAAAACTTTGAGAGCTTTACAGGCATTAGAAATTAAAAATTAAATGTAAAATTTTTTTAGAAGAAATGGTGTATTTTTTTTGAAAGAAAAGGATTTTTTTCATCATGTGGGAAAATCCAAAAAACCGAAAAATGTTTTTATTTTAAAATAAAAGAAAATTCATCGTATGGGAAAATCCCAAAAAACTGAAATTTTTTTAAAAAACAATAACTTCTAAAAAGACAATGATGATTTCTCGTGAAGAATTTCATTGTCACGATTAAATTATTTTTGTAGCTTAATATATTTTTTATATTACAATTACTAATCGGATTAGTTTCTATAAATTTGTTCTAATTCAAAATTGTATTGGGATTAGGGCTGCCCAATTATGCGCCACTCTGAATCCTCTATAAAAATCTTGTAGCACAGGGCGCAGACACATGATGCTGGACGATCCATTCGATCCAATTTAAATCCATCTTTTTATGCAGGGTAGTCTTAACGTCACGGTCGCACAATGCTTTTTTTTATAGATATAGATTCACCTTTAAATAGATCAAATATTAATGAATTATTGATATTATTGAAAATTGAAACATTCAATGGAATTTAAATGTTGAAGCATTTTATTATAGCAGATCTAAATTTCCAAAGGAAAAAAATTATTTATTTATTTTTCTAGTAAAGATTAAAATATACATTTCATAATTTGTTAAATAAAATTTATTATATCAAATAAAATACTAATATACAATACATTTGTTTTAGTGATATTTGTCATAAATAATAAAACATTGGCCGTTAGATTTAACTAATAAACTTGTTATATAATAATTAAAAACTTGAATAAACGTTTTACATAATATTCTATCACTTGCTAAAAATTGGAATTACTAATCCTACAATGTACAAATTTTTTTGTATATTTCCCAGGAGTAGATAGTAAATTTTTAAAACTGCTCATTTTACATGAACTGAGTCGATGCGCATGTATCAATTTTAATTTTTTCAATAAAAAATTCCTGAAACGAAAGATTTCTTTTATAGATAAAATGGTTCAATTTTAAAGTATGTGAATAAAAACAAAAATCGTAATATTAAGATAAGTAAATAATTATAAGCTGTTAAGGATATCTTTTAAATTAAGTAAATTTTCTATTTCTTTTCTTGAAAAATACTTGTCTTTGAAAGTTTCTGGAACATTTGAGAAAAATTTGTGATAATTTGGTAACAAATAACTCACAAAACTCATGTCGGGAATGTGAGTTATTGTGTATGGATTATATCCAAATCGAATATATTCTATTTGCTATGTGAATCAAAAAATAATATTATATTTTGTTCTGAAAGGAAATTAATCTGAATAAGTAAATAGGAACATACCATTTCAATAAAATTTATTTCAATTGAAAGTTGAGTATTACGTAGGTCATATATTGAAATCCTATATTCTATCCAACCTAACCCCTCAATTTTTGATACATCTTTATGTTTTAACATATGATCTTCTCGATAATACTATAATTAAGTTAATATTAATTTAAAATTAAATAAAATGATAGAGATTTTAATTAATTAACTTACGCTATCAAGTATAAATTTTATAAAGCAATCCTTAGATAATATTTTTTTAACATTCATTTTACAAATAAGATAATCATTACTCTTAATTTTTGGTAGTATAGGCAAAACCAAATGAAGATTTTCATTTTTAGAAGACATTACCAGCCCTGATAAACTTTAATTTTAAAATTGATTAATTTGTATTTGACTTAAAGTATTATTATGAGTAGACTTTACCTGCTTATATCACTTTCTTGTAATTGACAAAGTTTACTCTTCAAATTTGTAAGATTTGAAACAAAATATACTTGTTTTTCTAATGAGTTTAAGGTATTAATTCTGTCTCTTATACACATCTAGATGTGTATAAGAGACAGAACTAGTACAGAGTGCCAATTTACAGATAGAAGGTCTATAGTAAAAACTATGTGACAACAAATCTTGTAAAAAACCTTAGTAAAGAATTAAACACGTAAAACCTTACCAACAGCAACCAAAGTTAAAGTAAAATAACAAAAAAGTGACTAAACTCCACTAAACTAATAATGGAAACAACAAGAAACGGTTGTAATAATTATATCTTACCCACCCGGTTCACAACTACTGTAAAATCCAGGATTTCTTTACCAAATAAAATATACTCTTTGACACCCTCCAAATCTTCATATCTTCTGAACAGATTAATAGGGCGTTGTAAAATATCTTCTTGTTTTTCTTTACCAACGTTACTATCAGACTTCTTTTTATCTTTTTCAGTAATCCCATGATGTTTTTCTATAATCTTTAACTTCTCACAACGAAGTAGCCAAATGTGCTGTTTTGTTTCATCCATAACATATTGTAAAAGCTCCGTCCCCAAATTGACTATATTTTTCTTACCAATAACTTCCAATTTTTCAATATAGTCATATAATTGTTTTGGAAAAATACCTTTAATTAGATCTATAAAATTAAATTTATCTTTTCTAAATTTAGGGAAAAAAATATCAAATATGTTAATATCTGTTAGTATTTTATTTTCATCAACAGTAGCGCCATATTCTTTTAAAAGTCTTATTAGTTTGTCTATCATTCTTTTGATAATTTGTTTAAGTATTTTCCTATTATGTCTACAAGTCCAAACATGGTAAAAATCTTCTTTTTTATTGTAGCAAAAAACACATTTAAAATATTGATATATTTCATATGAAGATTTTTTCATTTGTTCGATAGTAGGAATTTCTTAGATTAAACGTTGTATTTTCATCCTCTTTTGTTTACAAATAAATTTATCCGTCTTATAAGTAGTTTCTCCTATTAATTGCTTATTAATGTAAGAAAATACTATTTCCCATTTAACATCTAGCAATCGATATCTCCAATTTCTGTTTAAATTTAAGAATTTTTCAAGACCCTGTGTTCTAGTAAAAAATCTTATAAATCTTCTTAAATTCATATCTATAATATAGTAATTCCACATGATTGGAAATTTATATTGTTCAGTATTGTATATAACTAGAGTATTAGCTAATCTATCTTCCATGTCATACCAGCCTCTGATTTCTTCATCTAATTAGTTATGTAACTTATTATTTGAATGAGACTTGACATTAATCACATCTAGCTGTTGTGTAAAACTATCTAATATTTCTTTAATATTAAACCAAAGAGAGTTATTATTATCAAAATTTAAAATATCCCTTGTTGTTGTTGACAACCATTTATTCGTTAAGAGCTCGTAATTCTTAATTACATTTGAACTATCTGTATATATTATAAAATTTTTATCTTCGTTAATTAATAATAATGCAACAAAAAAGGCCATGGTTTCTGCTTTTGTTGATGTAAGCCATTGTTCTATCGTTGAAAAATATTTATCTATCAATCTTTCTTTATCATCATAGATTGTTATTCCAAATATTGATTTAATGTTTTCACTTCCATTATCTATTACTGATCCATCTATATATACGTGGATGTTGTTTGAATTATCTAACTTTATTCTATCTTTAATCTGTTTAATCCGTTGGTACGAGATGTTATACCTATTTCCTTTAGCTAAATACTTATCTATATTATCTCCATTAATTGGTATTTCATATTGAATCATTCTTCCATTATCTAATCTATGTTCTATAATATTACTATTAAAAGCGTAATTATATCTCAAAACTTCGTCATAAAAATTAGCACTGATACCCTCATAATAGTATGTATTTTTCTGTAATCTCTTTGAATGGTGTTGTTTATTCCATCTATTTGGTGAAAGCAAAAAAGTACTATCTATACGTTCTATTATTAAACATTTACTTTTGACTTCCTTTTTGAACACTTCAGCATTTAAAGTTCCCAATTCACAGCCTTCACATTTTCTTAATATAATATTTTTTTCAAAATCATCTGTTAATGTTTCGAAGTGATTTAAGTATATTATTTTGCTATCCACGTTTGTTTTAATTACCCTACCAAAAATTGTACGATTCTGAAATGGTCCCCTAGTTATTCTTGAAACAACTGTCGCGCCTTTTTCAGGTAAAATTGTGGCTGGTAAAAGAATTGTCCCTTTTAAATTATATATTTCATCTATAGCTAACATATCATTATGAATTTGTGCTTTAATCTTGAAACTAATCTTAGAGCAAGAGAGATCTATTATTATCCTTTCGTAAGACTTTCTATTTTTTTGTGACATGCGTTTTGTGCTAATCAGTTTTGTATATCTTTTTAATTCCATTTCCTCAATCGATAGCAAATAATTTTTATTTAATGTTGTTATTTGATCTATAAAAATTAAATTATTTTCCTGTAACATATTAAAGTTTTTTATATACTATTTTAAATACTTAAGATATTTATGCAAAAATTGTCTGGCCTGATTTAGAATTTAATTTTGATGATCACAAATCGGCAACTTTAATTGCTATATTTGTCAAATTTTACCCGAATTTTTATGGCAAGCCGTACTGGTCAAAAGGTTGATAACTTTTCATCATGTTTCATGATGATTTTTCATCATGTTTCATGATAACTTTTCATCATGTTTCATGATGACTTTTCATCATGTTTTATGATAACTTTTCATCATGTTGACATGATGACTTTTCATCATGTTGATCATATTTTTCATCATATTTTATGATGTTTTTCACCATGTGACATGAAATTTTTTCATCATGTGTTGAATAATCTTCATCATGTTTCCTAATATGAAATTTTAACTAACCAAAAATGTCTT